AATTTCTACACGGAGAGAAAAATCAAGCGTTTTTAGCAGGGAGTAAGACTAAGGAGACTGAACTGACTGTGTGAAGTCTCTCAAAAATGAAACCTTTTTCTGTAGGGGAACTATACTCGCAGAATGACAAAACTTATGCTCCGCGCGCATGCGCAGTACATGCGCATATTGCTCTCTCTCTCTTTATATCGTAAAATATAAGCAAGTGAGAGAACAAAAACTTATCAGTAGGTTATGGTTATGTTTTGACATATGATTCTTAAAATAAAATTTCAAAATTATGGTTTGTTGCATACCAGGATGCAAAACATCATATTACAATGATCGACAAACGAATAAATTAACTTATTGATAACTTTTATGTGACATTTAAAGCTGTTTATTTATAAAGTATAAAATTAAAGTAAATTACAAATTCGTAAATATTATTTATTTAGGAATTGTTCAATTGTTTCCACAAAGAATAAAACACTTTGTAGTTATATACCAAAAAAATTGATTCTGAACATTTATAAATATTTCATTATATTATTAATATATTACTTATCACTGAAAAATATACACTCTTTAGTATATATTTTTGTATGCACATTTATATTTATTAAATTAATTTTTTTTTCAATTTACTAATAGTTATTATTAATAATATTTCCTGAAACGCACAACATTCACAAACATTAAACATAACCTTCTCAACTTGTAGCTTATAATGATTTTCTCAGTCGCATCTGAGTTACTGAGAAAGACAGAGACAAATATATTGCATGTGCGCATGCGCGAAAACCATAATTTTCAGTCTTACGTATAGTTTCAATGCGACGAATAATTTCACTTCCATAGCATTAGTTCAGTCTCCTTAGTCTTACTCCCTGGTTTTTAGTATGGACAGTTAACCTTATTTAGTAAAAGAATGCACATGCGCAATCGGCGTAGAATTTCCGCTGTATTTGTATCAATTTCTACGTTATCAGCCTAAAAGTTCTACCTTTAAACGCATGGGACGTCAGTATACTACGATTGCAAGAGATCCATGCTATTTTAGTATATGTTTCATGCAACTGAGGTATAAGGACACGCCTCTTAAGCAGGGCGTTCATACAAAATTACCATAGGAATTCTCCATGCTAAAAACGCTTGATTTTTATCTCCGTGTAAGAATAAATATTTTACTAATTCATTTAGTAAGAACTAATGGCGTCTAAATATGCGCATGCGCAAACCTGCACCTTTTGCATTTATCCTTTTACTAATTCAATTAGTAATGACGTAATGACTATTTGAATTAGTAGTTTTCTACTAATTTTAGGTGGACGACTTTTCCCCATTTCAATTAGTAATATTTTACTAAGAATTAGTAGAATCTTACTAATTCAGATTTAGAGAGATGAAACAAATATTTATGAGCCATTGAAAGCATTTTCCATACGTTGTAAATTTTTTATCTTTAAGTAAACAAAAAGCTAATGGGTACGTTCATAAACTACGTAGCACTTAAAGGGGGAGGGGGGGTCAAGCAATTGTCTAATATAAGAGGAAAAAATGGCGCTAATACATGTAATTGCGTCTATTTGGGGAAAGGGAGGGGGTAAATTTTCCAAAAAATTGGTCTACGTAGTTTATGAACGTTCCCAATGGGATATAATGTCCATTAAAATGTCCATGAATAGTAAACAGTTGAATACAAAATAAAAATCATATCCACGAAAAAAAATTAGGGTGCACATGCTGCACTTACCGAAAAATTTGTTAAATTTATTAACTTCACTCATACAAAAACAAAAGAAAATTAATAAGTGTGAAGTGCATTGAATAGTAAAATTTTTTGATAGGAATAGCTGGTGCACCATAAAGCACAGCTGTTGCCCCAGAAATATTTCCTTATGTACCCTGGCGATTAATTCTGTCTGTTTTAGAGAGGAAACTTAAATTCTTGTCAGTAGAAAGGATATGACAATATTTGACAAAAATTGTTTAGTTGAGCAAATTTTTCAACCGTAATTATATTTATAAGTAATAAATTATATTAATTCAATAAATTTTAATTAAATGAGTTATTTTTATTAAGTTATTTTTCTCAATAATGGAAAACTGGTTTTCTCATAAGTTTCAGAAAAAATTTATGAAAAAGGGACAAACAAAAGAATTTTGTCATTGACAATTAACAAAACACTACCCCGTTGACTTCTCATTTCAAAAGCATTTAATATTTTATTAAACATTCATTTAATATTGAATTTGCAATATTAAAAAAAAGATGTAAACTAATCAACTGTAAAAAAACCGAACAAGTGCGAGTAGAACTCGTACTAAAACCGAGGGTTCCGTACCCTCGTTTAAAACTTCTACTTTTTTGCTGGAAAAAATATAAAGATCAACTCCAATATTTTTCGCTGTATTTTTTCTGTAATCTACAGGTAAAAAAAATAAATAACTAATTTTCATCTCTTCAGATAAAAAACTGTGGGCGCTAGGGTAAAAAACACGCTTTTTTGACGAAATTTTTAAAAACTTTGAGTTTTTCGATGAAAAAAATATGAAGATCAAATCCAATCATGTTCGCTATATTTTTCCTGAAATCTACGCGTGAAAATACATACGTGTACCAATTTTTAGCTCTCTAGGTGTAAAACTGTGAGTGCTAGGGGGGGGGGTACACGGAGAGAAAAATCAAGCGTTTGTACTTGTAGTATGGACAGTTAAGCTTATTTCGTAAAAGAATGCACATGCGCAATATGCGTAAAACTTCTGCTGTATTTGTATAAATTTCTACGTTATCAGCATAAAAGTTCTACCTGTAACGCATGGGACGTCAGTATACTACGATTGCAAGAGATCCATGCTTTTTTAGTATATGTTTCATGCAACTGAGGTATAAAAACATGCCTCTTTAGCAGGACGTTCATACAAAATTAGCATAGGAAGTCTCCATACTACAAACGCTTGATTTTTCTCTCCGTGTACATGGTCATTTTTGTAACCGTTCCAATAGGGTTCCTACCGGGTACGGAACCCTAAAAAATGTATAAAGAAAAACAGTTTAATAAAAAGATTAACTAAAAAAATAATATTGAACAAAAATAAAATTAATAAAAAAATCACAATTAAAAGTTAAATTAATTTGTAATCAGATTCTGTTTCGATTTTAGTTAAGAAGCAAAACAGAAAGTCTTTTAGTTAAATTTGCTCTACACTGAGAAAACTGAAGCATTGGACTAAACATCTGGAGGGACAAATCTTTGATATTTGAGAGTTAGCTATTGGATAACAATCTAAATGTTCAAATACACCATTGACAGATATTCGTGCCATTTCTCTTGGAGGGAAAATGAGTTTATAACAGAGGGACAAATTAACCATCTTGTCCTTATCCGGCGCGAAATGAATAAATATGGCAACCTAACCCCTAAATTAAATACATAAAATGTCAGAAAAATAATTTCGCGCGCATCAGATCGTACACATTTTCTGCGCAACTTTTAACCCTCAGATATAATGGGAGAGAATATACAAGTAGATTTCCATTACCAATTCAAAATTTATTTTAGAAGGACTATTCAACTCTCTTCATAAGCAAAGGAAACATACACTTTTTGAACCTCTGAATTTGACTCTCCAGTTTTCTCAGTGTAGAAAATAAAAAAAGTCAGAAATCAAAAGCAATACTTTTTACTTACTTTCACTTTCTTTTAATTTTTATTAATAGTAAAAATTTAAAAAGCTACTTTTATACATTTTCCCTTGTAAATGTTAAAAATATTTTCCTAAACTCCTAAAATATAAAATAATAATTTTTCTTCTTTCGAAGTTCCAAGTCTAAAATTTAGAGGCCATTTTATAAAGTCCTCTAAATTTTAGATTACGTATATAATGGAAAAAGTTACAAAACGGAATGACTTTATTTGATATTGGGGATATTTTTCTTTTTCATTCACTGCGGGTTTTTCTTTTGTCTCTTGATATATATAAAAGTACATTTTTCTTTTAAAAATTCATTTCCTCAAAGAAATCTCGATCCGCAAACAAGAAAAATGAAAATGTGACAAAGTGCTACTTGAAATCTTTGACGATACACGATATATATATTGTAAAAATTCGTTTTCAGTGAAAAGCCAAATAATGAATCTAATCAAAATAGCCTTCTGTGTCTGACCTCTCTTTCACAATCCATGAATCCTCGCACCTTTGAAATTGAATTGATAGTAAATCAAGTATCTTTCCATTTTATACGTCCTTGACAAGGGTATATTTTGTTCTACTCTACTTTTTTCGATTGCGAAAAATATTGAAAGAAAATTGACAAAAATTGATTCTCAAATTACATTTCTACTATTTTTTGTCTAATTAAACAAAAAATTTTTGGTTTATTTTATTTTTTTATTTTAATTTCCGGAAATTAGGCCCACTTTTGCCTACTTTTATTATTTCATCCAGAGTGAATCTTAATAATTCTAAAGTAAATAGTAAAAATACTTTATTATTTAATTAATAAAACTTAGCCTATACTATAAAAAATAGTAAAAGTTACTTTATATTTTTTCTCCGTTTTCTTAAAGTCGCAGATTACTAATCTTAAGACGGATTCTAAAAATACAAAATGTCCGTTAAATATGGCGGCAAATTTTCTAAAAACCTAATATTCGCCATACTGTCCCCACACTATTTTTAAATCTATCCTCGTAGGAAAGAATCTATCAAACGAATTTGAATACAGAGAAAAAACTAAAATAGTAAAAACAATAAAACAATTATAATAATAAACAACAATTAATTTAATAATAGTGAAAATAATAATGGAAATAATAACAAAAATAATTAAAAGTAATAAACAAAAACAAAAAATATCAAAAACTTAAGTACAACAGATATAATTCATTAATTGAAACCATTATAACATCCCAAGCATTTCGTACAAGCTATTTAAACTATTTTAACTCGAAAAGTGAGAAATGTAATTTTCATCAGTATTGTTGGAATGTTTTTCTTTTTTTCTCTGATTACAGGGAGGATTGCCACCATCGTACGAGGAATATCTTTGTCATAACTATCCGATGATATCCCGTTCACATACACCACCGCCTCCGTGGTCAGATTCAACAGTCGGTATTCAGCAGGCGCGCAGGGATCTTTTTGCGAGCCAATCAGAACTCACTGAATATCTAACACAACTGACTCTGGTGCAAGCTAACCAAGATCAGGTCTCTCACCAATTCCCATTAGTGCGACATTCAACGACTGTTAACCAGCAAGCCCTCAGGAAACAGGCGATGAGGACGCAAAGAGCGCGCGCTATGCCTCCCAGGTGGGTATTCAAGATAAAAAAAACGAGCGGGAGGGGAATGCAAATAATAAATTCATCTTCACTCCCTAGACATTATACATACATATATATACATATTTAAATCCATGTGGAAATCTCCCCAACATATGAAAAAGGGAATTTCATATAAAATTTACAACACCGAAAAACTTATCTAACTTCAAATAAATAGATAAAATAGATAAAGTTCTTTACTTAACCCTTTAACGCCCCTGAGACATAAATGTCCCACCTACAAGTAGCTCAATATCTATAAACAAAAATTAATAATATTTATGGGACATTCCACGTTAACACGGACAGAGCTCCAAACAAAAATTGCTTTGATGGATTTAAACGTTCTAGGGCCTAAAAGATTTGTGCATTCATGTACTTTAAGATGCCGATAAGCGTTTTTTGAAAATTTCCATTTCCGATGCCAATAGAGCTGTCAAAAGTCAAAAAGTCCAAAAATCTCAAAACACTTTTATGAATTAAAAGCAAAAAACGAGGTAAATTATTCTGTAACTCATTCTTTAACAGTTTTTAGGGTCCACGATCATAAATCTAAAGTTTTTTTTAAAAAATCCAAAATGACAGATCTAATATGGCGGACAAAATTCAATTTTGATTAGATTCGATTAAAACTTATTACTCGGGGGTTTTTAGGATCGCTGATTACGAATCTGAAGTTACTTTTTAAAAATTTTAAATGTCGGATCCAATATGTCGAAAGAAATTTCAAATTTGTTCCGATTCCCTTAAAACTTGTTACTCAGATTTAATTAAAACTTATTACTTGGGGGTTTTTAGGGTATCTGATTAAGAACCTGAAGTCACTTTTCAGAAATTCTAGCTTCATACTGTTTTATAATGTAAACAATTTGTTTTTATTTCAAGCTTTAAGCGAATTGGATCAAATTTAAACATTTTTTGAGTCATATGGGATCCGCTTTTTTCAATTTTTAAATTGTGATTTCAGATTCGTAATGAGATACCCTAAAAACCCCTGAGTAACAAGTTTTAATTAAATCTGATCAAATTTTAATTTTGTCCGACATATTGGATTTTTTTTTAAAACTTTAGATTTATAATCGGGAACCCTAAAAACTGTTAAAGAATGAGTTAACGAATATTTTACCACGTTTTTTGCTTTTAATTCATAAAAGTATTTTGAGATTTTTGGAGTTTTGACAGCTCTATTGGCATCGGAAATGGAAATTTTCAAAAAACGCCCATCGGCATCTTAAAGTACATGAATGCACAAATCTTTTAGGCCCTAGAACGTTTAAATCCATCAAAACAATTTTTGTTTGGAGCTCTGTCCGCGTTGACGTGGAATGTCCCTTATTTAGATTTGGTAAGTTTTCTTCTGCAAAGAGAGGGCTTCAAAAATATATAGATCATAGATCAGAAAGTATCTAAAATTTTATATTGTTTAGAAAAAATTATAAACAATTGTTAAAAGTTACGAATTATCAAAATATTTTGGATTCGCATAAAAAAATCCGAAGTTTGAGAAACTAACATCAGATTCGTAATCAGCGACCCCAAAAACCCTCGACTAACAAGTTACAAACGAATTGCATTAGATTTTTAAAAAGTCGTCCGCCATATTGAATCCTCCATTTTGATTTTTTAAAAAGTAATATCGGACAATCGAGTTTCAAACTAATACAATAAATTTAACCCTTTGAGGCCCACTGGAACATATGTGTCCCAGAAACGCGATGAAACATATGTGACTGACAAAAATTGTGATATTTTAATTTTCTATTCTGCATAATACATAAATATTTATCAAAATTTTTGAACTGTAATGGAAAAAAGAACCCTATTTTTGTTGTATTTTACGTAGATTTTTGAGATTGCTGAATCTGAATTTGATGTCAGATTTAAAAAATTCTGTTAGAAAAAATAAATCAAGTCTTAAATAAGATGGATTCCAAGCAAATCATGCATGGTAGTGTGCGTGCAATATACGCAACAGTTCGCTATGTGTGTTTTTAGCACACTATTTTTTTCCGTGTAGAATTCGTAAGCATCGAGCATGTTTTGTTTTTAAGGTAGTAAATCGGTTAATCGACTTTTTATATTATTGTTTAGAAATTTTTACGATACATTCTTCATAGGGTTATCCTTCTATTTGTAAAGTTTTAAAAATTTTTCCAGTACAGAAAAAAATATAATTAATGTTAAAGTTGTGTAATTTTACATGTAAAGCGTAATTTTACATGTACTCTTAAATGTAATTAAGAGTACGTTGATTAGCATAAATTAATAAAAGTTGATTATACATTTTATTCAAAAACTACAATCAAATACATATTAAAATTGTGAATAATAATTTTCAAAAAATGGTAATTTGTCCGTTCTGTTTTTTTGCAATTAAATGTTAAAGTCATAATTTCATAAAATTTTCGTATGTTTTCTACAATACAGAGTTCGTGTTCGATATATGTATAAGAGGGTATTTGTATTAGTAAGGACAGGTAATTCTCAAATTATTTTTTTTTCATATTTGACTAAAAACTAAAATTGGAAGATTTGTTTTTCGTCATTTAATTCTCTGTATTATATTATTTCTATATTTTTAAATATAAGTAACGAAATATAATAGTTTTTAAATAATAGATTGCTTTCATTTTCATCACCCATAAAGTAATTATTTATTTCGCTTTAAATTTTTGAGAATTTTTTTTTTTTATTATTATTGACAGAATAGTCAATGCTTTCATTTCTGCAATTTCATTCTCGCAGTCTAGTATCTTCATTACGATTATTCAGCATCATGCAATAAAAAGCGTAATGAAACAAAAATGAAATAACGAAGCATGATACGTTTGGATGAGTTACGTTACTGCGAACGATAGTAACGAAATTTTACAAAAAGACATTATAATTTAAATTTACATATGTACATTAATTTTCATGGAATGTAAAGTAATTTACATTTTGATGTTCAAGCATGAAACAAGCTAATTTTTCTTCATGTTTTTTGTACCAGAAAAAAATGTTGAGATTTAACCTATACTATCACACATCTACTCTAAAACTAAATCAGTGAAATGACTGATGATAATAATTTCAATCATTTTTAAATGATTTTTATAGTGATATATCGATTTAAATTATGAATATTAAATTAAATAGAAATCAAAAAATTTAAATTACTTGTCTCAGTAATGCTTTAATTACTGTGAGCAACATAATTTCTAAATGGTAGAAAATAAATTAAAATTATTCACTTTATTAATATTTATTCTTAATCTTAGTTAATTTATTAATTAATATTTTTGAATCTCAATCTTGTTTAATTTAATAATTTATTAAAGTTGTCTTAATCTGGATTCAAGAATAAATCTTGGTTTTTATTTAAGATTAAGAACCTTTATTTTATTCTTGTAGTTCGAACAAAATATTCTCTAAACTAAGAACACTTTCTTAAATTCAAGAATATTTTTTGTCCAACATTTATTTATAAATAAACATTTATTCATTTAATTTTGAGTCAATCAAATGGTATTTACACTCCAAATACTGAAATTATTGAATCAAATACAAATTGATTAAAATAAAAATTATATGATTCAAGTAAATATTTGTCGCTGTAATCAGTACACTTATCTATAAAATTTATTAAAAACAAAGGGAAAAATTCCCAACACAACGAATTACAAAATTATGATTAAAATAAAAAAAATATTTCTCACAAGTAACACAATCACTTAATGTCTTTTATATTATGCAAATAGTAGATTAAAAGAAAACAAAATAAAAAATCACAAAGATCAAATGAGTTATGTCTATAATAATTTTCTTAATCAGTTTTCCAATTAATATTGAAAAATTTCAACTATCATTCTAGATGAAAATATTATAATATAGAGAATATATGCAGAGATAACATCGCTCATAAAATCAGTATACCTAAATCTCGTGATCTTGAAGCTATCGATCAAAAATTACATTATCAAAGATTGAAGAAAGATGAAGATGAAGAAGAATAAGAAGATGAAAAATATAAAGAAGTCACCTTTTAAATCGATAAATATTGCGGCACATACGCGACGTCATTTTAATGCTTATTGGAATTCTTTAATATCATAGATGATTACGTAATAAATTCTCCGCGCACTCTTCGTGTTCCTCGATTTTTCATACGTTCATACTAAACATAAAACTTGTTAGAAAATGTTTACGTAGCAGTTACTTTTTAAAATTATTAAATTTATAGCATGCCCGATCATAAATTTCTTCATACACTGAAAGTATAAAAATTGTTTTCCAAAGTAATAATGCGGTTGAAAATCAATATAAAAACATATTGGGGGGAAAATACATTTTTTTTTCTTTTTTATAACAATAGGAAACAATAAATAGGTAATATATATTTTTATGCAAAGAAGAATAAAAATATAATATTCTTTCATAAAATATCGTGACTTGTATATGCACAACAAAAAGTTGTAAATAAATTTTAACACTTTTTACAGAAGAGAAAAAATACAAAGAGACAAAAATAAAAATATTTCACGTATAAAATATTTTTGTTTTTTTTTCGTGGAAGGAAAATCTGAATCGATTTAATAAATACACGTATAATTTTATAAGTAAAGATAATAGTAATAATAATAATAATAATAATAATAATAATAATAATAATAATAATAATAATAATGATAATTATAATTATTATTATTATTATTATTATTATTATTATTATTATTATTATTATTATTATTATTATTATTATTATTATTATTATTATTATTATTATTATTATTATTATTATTATTATTATTATTATTATTATTATTATTATTATTATTATATAACATATTATAATATTATTATTATATTATTGTATTATATATATATTATTATTATTTATTATAATTATAATAGAAATTATTATTACATTTCATTTTTATATTTCTATATATTTTCATATTCTTATAGTTTTTATTATTAGTTATTATTTTAAATCTTTACTTTATTTTTATTCTTCTAATATACCTAAAATTAATAAATATTTGCCAATAAATACAACAAAAATGTTCGAATTTACTATCAATTAATCTTCAATTATAAATGTCATTTCCAGAAGTAAAAACATTTGCTGAAAAATGTTGTGAAAAGTGTGTTATTCAGTGTTATGATCGTTACATGTAGCAGAAGCTTTAAAATGATTTATTGTCAGGGACAAAATTTTTGGCGGACCATTTATTTCATCTCGAGTAACATCAATCCTTTATCACTCAGTTGATAGTGAGCTAAAAAAAAGCATTTATTTTTTTTTACACGAAAATCATGGGAATCAGTCTTGAATGACATTTTGGCTTGTTTTAAAATGTCAAAAAAGAAAAAAATGATTTAAACTCTTTTGACAAAAACCCTCATAAAACATGAATACTTTTTATTCTATATATAGTTTAATGTTTCATCTCTTTGTTTTATGACAATGAGTTAGATAAAATAATAATCCAATTCGGCTGGTGAAAATGACTTTTTAATGTTCTTCATTTCTACTTTGATGTTTCATATTTTCATTGTGTATACGTTATCATTTTTTGTTATTTTACTTCACTATTTTATTGTTTTTTATTTTATTTAAATTTTATTATTTTTTAGTATTTGGGTTTTATTGTGCTTTCATTTTTTAAATAGTTAATTTTATTATATCAATTGTAACACTTTTTTTTATTTATGATTCAGTCTAAAAAATATTAGTATAAAAAAATGCTTCTAATTATATTCGTTTCTGGATAACTGTAATTTTAAAAATTAAAACGTAAAATTCAATTATTTTTAAATGTTCTATGGGGTCGTCCATATACTACGTGGACAGTTTTTCAAAGATTGTTGACCCCCCCCCCTCCCCCCTTGTGGACACAAAAATACATGGGATCGTGGACATTTTCAAACTTTTTTTATCCCCTCCCTCCCCCCAAAAGTGTCCACGTGGTATATGGACGACCCCTATTAAAATTCTTTGTAGAGTTAAATTATTATTTTTGATACAAATGAGGCATTTTACGTGAAATGTCCTAAGTTGAAATTTCAACTTCTTGAAAAAAAATTGAAACTCAGGAAATTTGTTGTTCTATCAAGTAGAAATGTGACCCAAAAAATATTTTTGATTTTTTCGAAAAATTAGAGGGGGTAGAGGGGGGTCAATTTCACCAATTTTGCTAACACCGGCTACTTTGTGAATTTTTTCTGAACATACTTGTAATGGGAAAAATTTTTTAGAATATGTTTCTGAAACGTTTTTTCGTCCTCTTTCCAATGGTGTATTTTATTTTTTAATATTTTAAAAATTTACTCTAATTTTTGATAATTAATATTTAATTTTCAATTTCCCAAAAATCGGTCCGTTTTTTTTTTTAAATAAATTATTGCAAACGAAAGCTGAGATTTTTTCCTACCGGCATGTAAATTTTCAGAATGCCCTTTTTTTGTATTTGAGTTATTAAATTTCAAAGAATAAATTGCGTCCCGGGCGCCTCGTCTCACGCCGGTTGCCACACGGCTCAGTGTAACCGCGACGCAATTTATTCTTTGAAATTTAATAACTCAAAAACAAAAAAGGGCATTCTGAAAATTTACATGCCGATAGGACAAAAACCTCAGCTTTCGTTTGCAATAATTTATTTAAAAAAAAACGGACCGATTTTTGGGAAATTGAAAATTAAATATTAATTATCAAAAATTAGGGTAAATTTTTAAAATATTAAAAAATAAAATACACCATTGAAAAGAGGACGAAAAAACCTTTCAGAAACATATTCTAAAAAATTTTTCCCATTACAAGTATGTTCAGAAAAAATTCACAAAGTAGCCGGTGTTGGCAAAATTGGTCAAATTGGCCCCCCTCTACCCCCTCCAATTTTTCGAAAAAATCAAAAATATTTTTTGGGTCACATTTCTACTTGATAGAACAACAAATTCCTCGAGTTTCAATTTTTTTCAAGAAGTTGAAATTTCAACTTAGGACATTTCACGTAAAATGCCTCAAATGTAAAAAATTTAAATTATTAAAAAATTTTTCAATTTATTATTTTCAAATGTTATGTCAACTTATCTCAAAAAAACTGAATTAAATTTTTTAGCAAACCTAATTTTAAAAAAAGTTTTTTGTAATTTTTGTTCTTAAAAAGATGTAAAATATTTAAAAAATAATTTCTTTAAAATATTGCTTCTATAACTATAAGAAAATTCTGACTCACTATAAAAATGATAAGAAGAACAAGAAAAGTACTTGTAGGTACTTAATTTATTTATTTACTAACAAATTTTAATTGTGGAAATTGAAAGACAAAACTTATGTAGGTAATTATTTTCAAATTGTTGAATTTAAATTCTTTAAATACTCGATTATTTTCTAAAATTTAAATAAAAAGATTTAAAAATCCAATTACTTTTTAATACCTATATAACTTTAGGAAATTTCAAATATTAAAAAAAATTTCAGTTTATTATCTTCAGTTATGTTAAAAAACATAGAATTTAAATTTTTAAGAAACCTAATTATTTATAATTTCTTCGAAATTTTAATTTTTCACTTTTGATTTTTTTGATGTTGTTTTCCATCCTAATTTCCATCCTATTTCAATAATTTAAAAATAAATGCAAAGAACTACTCTCTAAAATTAAATGATATTAACAGAAATAAGAAGAAAAGTCAGGGTTTCCTTTTTAATATTATAGTAATTTACAAGTTATTAAAGTAGATTTTTAAATAGATTTTTAAATGTTGTTGAACATAAAAAACCGAATTTTTATAGCAATTTTAGAAACTTGACATTTTTCAGATTTTCATATAATTTTCTGACATTTTCCCGATTTCTCTATAATCTGTGGCAACCTTGTCAGTATACATTTCAGAAAATATTTCTAATTATAAATTCTCTTCTCAAAACAAAAAAAAATTAAATTATTGCTAAAAAAATACGTTCCCACAGTCAGTTATTTAATAAAATGAAAAACTTTTTTAATTTTTCAGATCCCAAAGTGAAAGTCGAGCTCAGCAGCAGCGGATTTCGACAATGTATGACGACGCTGCATTTTGCATGGAAACCACTGCAATTCAGTCAGCTATTGACAATGGTGTGGCATTCTGCAGTCTTATGTAAGCAAGATCGAAAAATCAAATTAGAAAAAGCAAAACACAAAAAATGCAAAAACTAAGGAAAAGATTACAAAAAATAATATCGATTTCCGTCGCGAAACTATTGTCGCTTTCAATTTTCATTGATTTTTTCCCCCCAGTTTCGAAAGTGAAATTTTTTTCGGGGGAAAAAAATAAAAGATGAGAGTAATATTAAGGAAATCGTGTGCAGAAAATTCGGAGGGGTATGTGTCTGAGTGTGCGTATGTATGAACTGGCTGGTCCAGAATCATTGCTTCATATTTCTGAAAAATCTCACACATACATATATATATATATATATATATATATATACATATATCTGAATATGCGAGATTATATACAAAAAATGAAGCCACTTTTTCTACTTCGAGAAATCTTTACTCGAACCATATTATAGATACAATGTGGATTTATCGCCATTATGATCAACTCATTGATAAAGGCACAAGTGGCACGATTTTTTTTAAACCTGAAATAAATTTCATCTTCCTGTTTTTCGAAAAGAATTTCAATATTCAAGTTGAAATTTTACGCAATTATTATTTATTTTTATAAAGCTAAAGACTATTAATTATGAGTAAAACAAATTATAACTATATTATTATTTAAAAAAAATATTTTTTAGAATTTTTTTTACAACTTCTAGAATTTATTCAGTTTTTCTACTTTTTTTATTCCGATCTGATTTTCAAATCAATTATCATGTAAAAGTTACAGATACAATTAACTTTACTCAGTTGTTACTAATTTTGTTATAACTATTTTTTATAATTAGATTTCTAACTTTAATTTTTAATTTTTTAAACCAGTTTTTAAATAGCTATTTTTTTCTAACATATTTTTAATATTAAAATTTTTTAATTCATAATTTTTCCTGTATTGGATTTAATTTCAGAATTCCAATACACCTTCTTCTGTTTTTTTATTATTCGCCAGTTATTTCCATTTTAATATTCTTCCATTTACAAGTATTTTATTTCCAATAATATCTGGAGTATTATTTTTAATTTAAAATTTTTTTTTCCAATGAAATCTGATTTCTCGAGATGTACAATAAAACGACACGCACATTTCCTGATAATTGAACTGACTCTTTTACAGTTTGTATAAATTACAGAGTTGTCTAACAAGAGAAAAAAAATAAATGTTCATATAGTTAGAATTTAGGAAATATTTTACTAGAAAAAGAAATTAAATCTACATTTTTATTACTAAACGAAATATATAATTTTTTTGAAAAAAAATTATCGAGATTAATTGAGTGTAAATTATCGGTGTAGTGGAAAAAATGGAGACAGGGGGATGAATTTTTATTTTGGGGCTATAAGAAATCATTCACTCATAATAAATAATAATTTATTGTGTTACGCCAAAGAGAGGAATTTAAAAGAAAGTAAGAATGATAAACGTCATTATTTATATTGTTGATATTTTCCAACATACTATTTTTCGAAAACGAGACACTGAAAACAATTTTGAGAAAAAAATCTCTATAAATGTGAGGAATTTTTTAGAATTTAAAAAATAATAGATTGTGAATTGTTATTGCTCTTTGTTAATAATAAGAAACGGGATTGCACTAGCAATATATAATGACGTGATTATAAAGACTGAAAAACAAAAAAAAATTGTAGATCAACAAAATCTTCAAGTGAGTGAAAATAATATGTTTTTTTTCATTGACAACTAACATCAATGATAATTTTTTTACAATCGATATTTTTTACAATCAATTTTCTTAAAATCATTTTTTACAATGAATTTTTTGAAAAATATTAGAATTTTACTCTCAAGAATGAAAAATAATTGTTTTAAAAAATACTTTCTTGTGTGACGAGAATTAAAAATTCAAATAGTAATTGTAGTGGCATTTTTTTTAAAATTGTCATTCTTAGAAAAAACTGTTTAAAATTGGATAAGAATTTCTTTTTTCTTTTAAAAGAAAAAAAAATGATTGAAGAGATTCGTTTTCAGTGTGACGTTCTCAGATAAAAAATAAGGGTCATTCTACAATCTCGGTGTGTTTTAAAAAAATGGTAGAATGGCCTTACGGAGAAAAAAGAAAAATGGATTCTCCATCATCTTCACCAGGGGGATATTTCAAAACGATATTCTATACTCATGGGATATTTCGCAGACGTCTTAAATCTCCCATGTGAATAGAAAGAAAGACGTCTTCCAAATATTTCCTGGTTATCGCGTGTCAGATGGACGTTTACTCGATCTATTTTGCCTCATCACTCTTCTAGTTTACAGAAATTTTAAACGTGGTCTATCGTGTCATGTTTCTTATTAAAAACAATATCAATTCCTCACTCATTCAACTATTTGTGATCAGTCATGGTAATCCTGTTTATTTTTCAAAACACCAGTACAAAATTTATTATTCATTTTAATATTACGTAAAGCATTTATTTCTAAAAATAAAGAATTTTTGTTATTCGTATTAATTATTAATTTTTTTAATTGCGGTTTAATGAATAAATCTAATAAGCAATTAATAAATGTGTATTTTTTATTTATAACTTCGATAAATATTTTATTTAAATATGTAAACAGGCTTACAAAGACAAAAGTTTAAAGAAGTATTAAAAAATTGTTATTGAGAAACAAAACAAGATTGCTATGACAAAAAAGGAATCACGAGTCAAAGTGAATTGAAAAACAGATATTCGTAAATCGATTCAAAAATAAAAGATAAGCACTGAGATCCTAATTGCCTAATTTATAAACAGAAACGAACTGAATATTGTCAACGATTAATTAAAGGAATTAAAGGGCCTTTATAATATTGACATTAAAATATATTTTGGCCTCAGTCCACTTTGGCATATAAAAAATTAAAAGAGAGAAAAAAACAAAAATTATAAAAAAAACCCTCCATAGTTTCTATACCACGTCAACGTTACTCGTTATATTCCCAATCATTGAAAGATGTGAACGTCACATTCATATTTCATTTTCGATCAAAAAGAATAAAGAAAAAAATATGAAACGATCATCACAAATAGTCCCCTAACTATTATAATAAAATCTAATTCTGCTCTACTGTCTTCTCGTGCGCGTAATATATTTGATAGAGAACAATTTATAAATTACAAGTAACGAATGTTTCAATGGTTTACCAAAAAAAAAAAAAATAAAATAAAAGCATTTAACTTATTGATAAGAAATTCAGACTTACTTATTCAAATTAAATGAGAAACAAAGCATAATGTAGTAGTGCGTCAAGTCGATGTTAACTCATGTTACTTAGACTAGCACATGTACAAGAGGGGAGATTTTAGCAATATTTGTCGAAACATGTTTGGAAAAAATTATCAAAACAATCACTATTAATACTTACTAACGAAGAATAAATTTCTACGACTGTAATTACATTGTGTATTTAAGCGGTTCGGTGAGGTACTTCACTAAGAAGCACTGCGCAAGCGCTCAAATCGCAGCAGTGACAGTGAGAGAGAAATTCGCGTTTTTCTCTCTCGCACTCATTACCTCCACTCTAGCGCCTGCGTACACCTTCTTATTTACTGGCACCTTACACACCAATTAAGTATTTAACAGCTGGTTAAAATTATAATTTAAAACCATTTTATTAATTTTACTTCCTCGTGAATTTTTTTTCAATTTTCAACGAAAGTTAAAGTTACCGAAAAAATTGTTTTTTGTCTTTCTAATTGGACATTTTGTATTACAAAAAATCTGAACTTTTGTCATAATTTCTATATTAGTTTTCATCTGATATTTTATAATACTTTCTTCTTATTATTCCCAACAACCAATGATTGTGGATTTCGAAAAATTAATTTTCCAAAATAAATACAATTTTTATTTTTTTAGTAAATAAACTTTTTTAATAAATAATAATTGTAAACTGAAAAAATATTTTTTTTTATTAAAAACAAAAAATAAAATATTTTTTCTTAATAAACAAAAATTGTAAACTGAAAATATGTTTTAATTTCAATAAAACAGTAAAATTATTATAGATATTTCTTAATTCTTCATAAATAAAACTTATAATTTAAATAATCTCGTGGAAAAAAAATTGGTTTGTAAAGTTTGTAAATTTCCCTGGGTTACATTTTATTGGTTTTTTTTTAAGTAAAAAAAAATATAAAACTTTTACAGAATTTTTTAAAAAGTAATTATAGAGAATTTTTTCTTTTTAAAAATTTATTTACAAGTATATTATAAAGTCGTCCTTTCAAGTGGTTAAGTGGTAAAGTTTTTCTCAAGGAAAATTTATTTACAGTATAAATAAAAATCTTCGCTTAAAGAAATTTACTTTTTAGTAAAGAAAAAGTATATTTTACAGAAAAAATATAATTGCACTGGGAATTGAAACATGACTGAGAAAAGTGACAACATTTTTGTCAAACTTGACCTGAATTTGAAAACAAAATTTGTCCGATTTCTTTATAAATAAAAAACTTTAAAAAATAATAATAAAGGAGAAGATACATAAAAAAATTATTTACTGAAAAAATATAAATTCAATCGGTTTTTTTAAATTATTGAAAATATACCTAAGAAAAACAGATATTTTCAGATTTTTGTCATCCAAATGTCAGGAGATACAAATAGTAAGTACAATTCGTCCATTGATAATCGAAAAAAACATATTAATTAAAAATTCATCTCTAGCTAATCTCCCCAAAATTCTTATTTCTAAAAACGAAAACCTCAACATTCAACGAGTATCGCACTATGTGCAAAAACAAGTCAGAAACATAATTTTTTCCAATTGAACGGAAAAATCATAACTACTATGACTAACAATATTAATTAATGTCTCTGATTAATACATGTAGGAATACAATTTTTCACAAATCAGGGGCAAAACATCATTTCTCAATATTTTAAGAAACGAAAAATGTAAATAATATTAATTTTAATAAATTCAGAAACTATAGCGTCATAGATAGATTTTTTTCTTCAGTTATTTTTTCATTTATATTATGAATATTAAAAGCAATGAATTAAATTTAAAAATATATTTTTTGTTCTATTCTAAGCAAATTATGACGATCACTCAATGTAATAAAAATTTGTTGAGAAAATATTTCGATTGTAAATTGCAATAAAAAAATTGTATTAACCTAGCTCTCTATTGTACATTGTAATTGAATATTTTTTTATTTTATCATCTCTATTGTAAAATGCAATGAATTGTACGGTTATGAAAAAAAAGAAAGACAAGAGAAAAATATTTTTCAGAATTTTTTAATATATATTTCTAGTAGCTTATAAAAGTTTTTTAGAAATTGGCCCCTGAGAATATTTAAGTCAAAAACACTAAGCCTTTTAGCACGTTCAATTAGTCTTCCGCGGACCATAAGTGTACATAAACGATAGAAACACTCGCCATTACCAGTCTAATGTCTCAATAATTATATTCAATGTTGCACAGGACGAATAAAATAATATTCATCTAACTGGCAAAAAAACTGAATTATTCTAACAGACTTTTTCCCCTATAGACTGTTATATTCATTATTTATACATGTTATAGTTATATATGGAAAGTTCACGTAGAATAAAAAACAATTTTCAATTATTCAGAAAAATGAAAGCGAACATCAACAGTTTTTCTACTATTCCCATTAGTCTCTCATTAAAATAAAATATTTTTATTTTTATTAAAATTAAATTTAATTAAACATGTGAAAAATAAATGACTTAAATTTATTACACTTGACTAGTTGATATAATGTTCCAAAAAGTTTAATGGCATAAGAAAGCAGTTATAGTGAACAAAAGGCATGGAGAAGCGACCTCCCACCACACAGAGGAATATACTTGTGTGGAGGGGGAAGAGCCTAAACGGTGGGGAACCGCTTCTCTAAGTTTCGCACTCACTAGTTTTTTAATTTCTGTTACTTATTTTCATTTTTTTGATTATAAACACGTTAATCATTAAACTAAATAACTTGAATTTCACTTTCAGAATAAACTTTATGCTCCTTGTATAAAGTTACGTGCAATTAATTTGAAAGTATTATCAATTAAATTTTAAGGATCATAGAAAAAGAAGTGCAATAGGAAATATTAATAACACGTAAAATGTTGAAAAAAAAATCCACTGTTAACGAAAACAATGAAAAAAACAAAAAAAATAAATAAAAATGAAACACAAAATACAATCCTATGAATACGAAACGTGATAGTAATTTAAATTCTAACTTTTCAGAATTCTTTTCAATTTATTATTTTTACGAGCACAATCATTCCTGACGAGATGAATCCAATTCGAATTTTTCTATTGTTCAAAAACATTATTTTAATTCCAGAAAAAAATGTTATTAGAATTCCAAAATAAAAAAAAGTTCTTATATAAAAGAGAAGATTTTTTTTGTAAAAAGGAACTTCTAATGAAAGAGAAATTAAAAGAAATATAAATTAAAATAAGAATGTGGTAACTTATTTTAAAATAACACGGTGTTGTGTGTTATTGTTACAAAGTAATACACTATGTAACAAAAATTTAAAAAAATACAATTTACAAAAACAATGCAATTTACAAAAAAAAAAAATTAAAAATTTTTCATTTTACATAGTACTTGTAGTCGATAAAAAGTGTTTTACGACCGGATGTCGTTATGTCCTGTCTAAGCGCACATATTTTTGTCATTATACTCCGTTATTAATGATAAATGAAGAGAGAAAAAACACGACACTTAAATAATCAATTTCTGATCGCCGTAAAATGAAATAGGA